ACTCTCCATCTTTTCTCCGAACTGACTCCTAATTCAGGCAGTTGTACATTCAGACTGTAGGTGTATGTGTGTATGTGTGTGTTAAGGTGCCATGTATGTGGGAAGTGTGGAAAATGAAGACTACATTTGCCCTAGGGGCTCATTTAGTGACTTATAATATAATATTAATATGTTAATATCCCTAAGACACAAGAGAGTCAAAATTAGTGTTTTGTTAAATGTGGGGCCGGGGGCGTGGTAGCTCACACATGTAATCCTAGCACTTTGGGAGGCCGAGGTGGGTGGATTGCTTGAGCTCAGGAGTTCGAAACTAGCCTGGGCAACATGGCAAAACTCCATCTCTACCAAAAATAGCAAAATTAGGCCAGGGCATGGGGACGGGTGCTGTGTCCAGCTTACCTTGGGGGGAGGGCAGAGGCAGGAGGATGCTTGAACTGGGAGGTCAAGGCTTAGTGAGCTGGAATGTGTGCCACTGACTCCAGCCTATGTGGACAAAGTGAGCCTGTCTCAAAACTTTTTTAAAAGGTGGGGCGGTATGTGCAATGAGGGCTGGGTGAGATACGCCACCTGTAATCGCGCCATCTGGGGAGGGGGGCCGGGAGGATGCTTGGCCAGGAGTTTAGATACAGCCTGGTGAGACATACAACGATCTGTCTCTAGATTTTTTTTATATTAAAAAGAATGTGGGGTTTTTTCAACTCAATTGGGGTTTTTACAAAGAAAAACCCAACTTTACGTGCATGCTACCAACAAAAAAGAAATTTAATAGAATAGAAAATATAAAGCCGGGGCTGGGGCGCGGTGCTCACACCGATCATCACAGACTTGGGAGGCTGAAGGAGGGGTGTATGCACTTGAGTCAAGAGTTCGAGACCAGCCTGGCCTGAACGTGGGAAAACCATCTCTACTAGAAAATACAAAAATTCAGGCGTGGCATGTGGCATGGTGCCTGTAGTCCAGCCTACTGGCGGGACTGGGCAGTGAACTGGGAGGCTGACGTGCTGTGAGTCAACGATTGGTGCGTTGGACGAACTGTGGCAGAGATTCACGCCCGTAATGCAGCTACTGTAGGGAAGCAGAGGTGGGAGAACAGCTTGAGCGAGTTCAAGAAACCTGCTGAACTAAATGAGGACCCCCCCTTTCTCCACAAAAGGAAAAACAATGTATTTTTTAATGAATTTATTATATATAATATTATATGTATTGTATATATAATGGTACCACTCAGTAATGGTAAAATATTGTTTTATCGCTTTTGCTATATTATGATAAGTACACTAACTACTACTGGGCTCCATATTTTAAAGTATTCTCTTAGTGGGGTCAACAGTCAAAACAAAAATTGAGAAATATGGTTTCTAGATCTCAGAGTATACTTTAGAATACCTAGTCTCTGATAAAACAGTTTCCCGCTCTATAGAAAAGATTTCTGAGATTGACTGTATCTAGGAAATCTCGCATATTATATCTGTCTTTTTGGAGATTCACAGTGTCATTAGTGGAATTGTTTAGAGGCAGGAGCAGTGTGGCTCAATGACTGTAATCCCAGGCATTCCTGGGAGGCCGAGGCGGGTGGGATCCACGAGTCAGGAGAATCCAGACCATCTGTAACCGGTGAGAAACCGATCTCTACTTAAATACAAAAACAGGCCTGGTCCGCAGTGGCTCACGCCCTGTAATCCCACGCCTTTGGGAGGCGAAGCGGCGGATCCATGAAGTCAGGAGATCGAGACCCATCCTGGCTAACACGGTGAAACCCTCGTCTCTACTAAAATACAAAAATTAGCCAGGCGGGTGCCGGCCTGTAGTCCCCAGCTACTGGGAGGCTGAAGGCAGAGAGAATGGCGTGGAGAACCTGGGAGGTGGAGCTTGCAGTGAGCGACGATCCTGCCACTGCACTCCAGCCTGGGCGACAGAGCAAGACTCCATCTCAAATAAATAAATAAATTAATTAATTAATTAATAAAATACAAAAACAAAATTAGCTGGGCGTGGTGGCAGGCGCCTCTAGTCCCAGCTACTCAGGAGGCTGAGGTGGGAGAATGGCGGAAACCCAGGAGGCGGAGCTTGCAGTGAACCGAGATCGCACCACTGCACTCCAGCCTGGGTGACAGAGCGAGAGTCCGTCTCAAACAAACAAACAAAAAAAACAACTGTTTAGAAAGCCTTGCAGTTAAATGTTTACGAACTTTGTATGACCACAGAACTTTTTTTTGGCCCATATAATGGCTTTCAACATTCTGAGGAACAAGTGTTCGGAAGAATACACTTTGAGAAACATTAATCTAGATGTGTGGTCCTGAGGAAAAGTTGTATCTATTCATTCTGGAAGCTTTTGTATACGGTATGGGGCCTGTGGCATTCTAGAGAACATTGAACATTACTCCTACCATCACCACACAATAGAACCTGATTTTCTGTCATTGGAATAAGTGGAAAATAGGTTCCATACTGTGGGTTTTGAGAAGGGTAAAGATGGGGCATAAGGGTAGAAGTGCTTTTCTCTAGAATCATGCTGAGAGAAGGTGTCCATTCCTTTAGGTGGAATTACTTTCTGAGACAGGAACTGTTAATGTCCTGTTTACTGAAATTCCTTTTTTCTTTTTTGCTTTGTCCACAGATGTGGGACCTAGGAAAAGGCCTGAAGATTCCCCAGCTATACCAGTCTGGAGTGGTTGTCCTGGTTCTTACTGTGTTGTCCTCTATGGGGCTGGCAGCCATGTGAAGAACGGAGGTTCCCAGCATCATCTTCCTACACCTTATTACATTCATCCATCTTTCTGTTTTTCATTCTTATCTCCAGCCTGGGAAAAGTTCTCCTTATTTGTTTAGGTCCTTTTGTACTTTCAGATCCCGTTGGAGCAGTAGAGTACCTTGTAGACCATAATAGTGGAAAAGGGTCTAGTTTTCCCCTTGTTTCTAAAGATGGGGTGGCTGCAAAAACTCCCCTTTTTTGCCCACAGCTTGCCAACTCTAGAAGCAGTTATTCTGTCTGCATATTGGGCTTTGATTTGTGCTGAGGGTCAGCTTTTGGCTCCTTCTTCCTGAGACAGTGGAAACAATGCCAGCTCTGTGGCTTCTGCCCTGGGGACTGGGGGTGAGGCTTTGGGTGCCACTGCCTGTGGGTTGCTGGCTTAAAGGACAATTCTGTTCATTGGTGAGAGCCCAGGCCATTAACACCTACGCAGTGTTATTGAAAGAAGAGAGGTGGGGGTGGAGGGGAATTAGTCTGTCCCAGTTAGAGGGAGATAAAGAGGGCTAGTTAGTTCTTGGAGCAGCTGCTTTTGAGGAGAAAATATATAGCTTTTGACACAAGAAAATCCAGAAAATTATTGAACATATTAATGGTTATTTCTTTTTCTTTTTCTTGGATTTCCAGAAAAGCCTCTTAGTTTTATGCTTTCTCATCAAAGTCATGTACCCTTTTTTTCTGAAACTGAATTAAAATACTCATTTTATCTTTGACTCTCCTTGAAATCTAGAGAAACCAAGAAAATGGCTGTTGGGAAGGAACCAATTTCCTCCTCTTCCCTCGGGTCTCAGGCATTTACATCCTCCCTCTCCCTGCAATCTGACCTTTCCCAGGAGGGAAACAGTTTTCCTACATCTCATCATTGGAGGAGTTTTCAGGGAATCAGATAGAACTTAGCCAGATATTTAAATATCACAGAGAAGCCTCAGAGAAGGAAGGAGGAAAAGAAAAGAAGTGATGCATGTAGAGTGCTTTTGGGTTATAGGCACCAAAATCCCATTAAGGACTGATTATAAGCTTCATGGGACAGTTCAGCAAATTATGATTCAGTGAGGGGCACAGAGGACCAGTGTTGGTGACAGCTAAGGGATGATGACCTGAAGTTATAGGCTTAGGGTAGATGAAGAATAGAGATTTTTTAAAAAAGAAGGGATTGTTGAAAACCTGGCAAAAATGTATAATTTAATGAGAAAACTTGATGCTTTTAAAAATGCAGATAGGCCAGGCTTTACCAGGCATGCTGTTTTGATAGTTTTTGGGAACTCTGGAATAAGAGACCTATCTCGTCTGTCACTTTGAGTTACTGGCCAGCCAGTTAAAGCCATGGGTCGAAGAGGGGAAATGGTAGCTGGTTGGTGTCAATTGGATAGGAAGACCATAGTTAAGGTGGGGACCTGCTCTTTTAACAGTCTTCATTCAGGGTCCCAAATAGTATTTGGCTTTAAGTAATGATTGCTTTTCCCTTTTTACTAGAGGGGTCCTGGGAAGTCCTTGTACCTTTCCTCCATTTTAAACCAGCTGTTCTCTACTTTGTCCTTGGAATGAGGGACAAGTGATCATGAGAGAACACTTTGTCATTGGTATGGGGAAAGGTTTGGCAAGGGCATTGAATTTAACAGCCAGTGCCAGGAAAATGTAAAATGGGGTCAATGATAAACAGATGTTACAGGCTGGAAAATGGGTAGGGCAGTTGAATTTTTTGGTGGTTTCCTACCATTTGGGTGATTGAAGCATGGTAGTGGGTGGGTGGGGGGTGTGACAGCGTCATGTTTGTTATTCTGCCTTAAATTTCTACTTACCATCTTTCTTTGTCTGTCTTCCAATCACTTTAATATCTTCAATTTTCAAACTATATTTGTACTTGGGCTTAGATAGGAAGTCTTACAAAAGCATAGTATCTTCTACTTTGGTTTTCCCTACCTTTTCTTCTCCACCTTCTCCAAACACACATATACATACTCTACTCAACAATTCTACTTCTGATTTTGTAGTTGTTAGTTGTGCATGCTCAGGATAAAAAATAAGTGGGTAGGGTTGAGGGACTGGTTCTTTGAGGTTCTACCCTTTTTCCATGATTCAGACCAACCTTCTCTTGGTCATTTCTGGAATATAACTGACTCAATTCTTGTAAAAATGTGTTCCACCCAAACCACTGTATGTTCTTTTCCCTACTTTATTTTCCCCCACCTTCCTTCTCCTAATTGGGTTACAAGAGGCAGCCATAGCAAGAGTGGAAAATCCAGATTCGTAAAAGATTCAACAAAAAAAGTTTATTTTCCAAATTTGTTTTTACTCCCACCCCAAAATTTCCCTGTTTCACAGTTCTGACTGGGGGCTCTTGTTTATTTCACTCGGTCGCTATACAGGTTTTTCAGTATGTGGCCACTTGGTCCATATGAAATTCCAGGTTTGTATTTCTGGACCTCAGCTAGATTAGGCCCTGCCCAGAGTTCTAGCATACGTGGACTTCCAGGTGGGCTCTTAGGATTTGGCTGGGCTTTGGGGACCTGGAGTATGACCTGCAGAGGGGTGTGAGCTTCGGAGTTCATCTGGGGAATTGAGGTTGGCAGCTGGGGAGCTTGGAATTATGGTTGGACTTAGTGCTTGTTGTACAGTCTTTGTGATAGACTTCTTCCTGAGTTTCTTCTGACTGTCTGGATCATGGGGCTGTCAGTGATAGAGTGGAAGAGACAGTCATGTCTCTGGTCGGGCCCGGATCATTCCCAGTGCACCTCAGGATTCTAACTCCCTTTCTCCCTATACCATGGGCAGTAGATCAAGTTTCAAATAAGGAAAGTTAAATTTGATTTCTCTAACCACCCTCCCCCACCTTGAGATTAGATCATTTTCTACTGTTGGGGGTGAGATGTCCTTAGCCCATCCCTTCAGTCCTCAGAAGGTGATTAGGGACTAGTCAGGATAAGACGAATTGGTTAGAGGTCCCCCCTGTTGGGTTAGTGGTGGCATAACAGCAGACATTTTTTGAAGTTGAAAAGAAATTGAGACAACAGGGTTTTGGATTAGATGGGAAGAATAGATACCTTGCCTAAGATTTCAGGACGCAGCCCATTGGAGGCCTTGAGTAAATCAGAATTTTTCTGTATCCATTTGGTGAGGGAGGCAGCACCAGCAGTTGTACGGGAGGTCAGGGTCACCCGAGCAGGGGGTATCTTCAGAGGCATTTGCCAGGTGCCCATGAAGGAACCCCAAGGATTTGCCTGAAAATGAAAAGGAATTCCTCAATAGGGCTTCTCACTCCTAGTAACTGACTTAGACCTCTGTTAGTCTTATTTCCATTCTTTAGGAATGCATGGTTATGAAATAAGACTGAAAGCATAATCTTCCCACCCTTCCTTATCCCCCTCCCTCATTTAGGCTTTGCAGGCCTAATTTTTTCATCCCCTTTACTCTGCCAACTTAAATTCCGCATCCTTAGGCTGAGTGTGGCAAAGGAGTACCCACTGCACAAATGTCATCACCTGAAGGCTTTCTTTTATACAGATCATTGATCAATTTAAGAACTTCTGAAAGGTGCTAAACACAACTCTATCCTGTTGGGTAAGCTGGCTGGAAGTTCAAGGGCTCTTACATTACAACATGAATTAGATTAAACTTTAATTTTCCTGATAATGGCTGTGAGAGACTGCACATCTCCCAGTTCTGTGCCTCAATTATTTGCCTTTCTTGATAGGAATGAAGATAGTATCTCACCTTGGAACGGGGCACAGAAGGCAGTAGATGACCACGATCATTGGCAATAATTTGAGTGTAGCCTTCATGAGAAGAGATGCTCTGGGGTACAAGTGGGAGAGATAAATGTTTCTGAGTGGGAAAAAAAGGAGTATTTGGGGAGCTTGGTCAGAGAAGGATATGGGAGTTTAGAGAAGGCTAAAAGGAGTTAATTGACAGGGAGAGCATGAGGCTATCTTGTAGGTGCACTGAACATGGAATACCTCTTTTGTTGGCTTAGCCGGAGACCAGTTCTGCAGATACTTGGATGAGAAAGCCTTTTCATACTGTGGAGAGAAAGATAAGTATCCCTGTGAGACTTCAAGGCCCCAAACCCAGGAAATGATGACTAGGCACAATTCTTTAGATTTGAAGACCAAAGGCCTGACCAACCATGTAGGCTTTAAGTCACTATGACAAGGGTGTAATCTGTTTGGTCTAGATGTGTGCTGTTCAGCATGGAGCCAGTAGCCACATGGAGCTGTTGAACACCTGAAATATGACTAGTTCAAATTGAGGTGCTTTATAAGTATGAAATATGCTGAATTTTGAAGTTTTGTCTTTTTCTTTCTTTCTTTTTCTTTTTTCTTTTTTGAGACAGGATCTTGGTCTGCCACCTGGGTTGGCGTCAGTGGCACGACCCTAGCTCACTGCAGCCTTGGACACCTGGGTTCAAGTGATCCTCCTCCCTCAGACTCACAAGTAGCTGGGACTACAAGTGCATATCACCATGCCCAGCTAATTTTTTAATTTACTTGTAGAGGTAAGGTTTCACCATATTGCCCAGGGTGGTCTCAAACTTCTGGCCTCAAGTGATCCTTCTGCCTCAGTCTTCCAAAGTGTTGGGATTATGGACGCAAGCTACAACATCCAGCAGGTTTTGAAGATTTAGTATAAAAAAAAGAATGTAAAATATCTCATCATAATTTTTAAAATACTGATTAAATGTTGAAATAATATTTGGATTTATCGGGTTAAATTCAATATATTTAAATTTTATGTTTTAAGTTTTTCATGTAGCTACTAGAAAATTTAAAATTACATTTGTGGCTCGCACTCTTTGTTGGGCAGCATTGGTCTAGATCAGGAGTTGGTGAACTATGGCCTATGGGCCATATCCATATTGCTGCCTGTTTGGGGATGGCCTGAGAGTAAGGACGATTTTTATAGATGAACATTTACAATTGATTCAGTAAAATGGAACACTAACTTTGAATCCCAGTTAAGTGAAATGTTTTCTCAACCCCCAAAATTCCATTATTTTCATTAGTAGTACAAAAAATTGTACTCAGTTATATTTTGAATTTGTCAAAAATTTTATGGAAAAATGTTTTTCTTTAATTATGTAAGTAGCTATAGAATATTTTTGACTTTGCCACTTGGCCTAAGCCTAAAATTTTTACGCTCTGCCCTTTTACAGAAAAAAAAAATTGCCAACTTCTGGTTTACACCCTACAAATTTAACCCAGAGATACCTTTGGATCGCCCCTGGGCTCTATGCCTGAGGAGGTAAAATATTTTCTCACTCCACTCTCAGCTATCTGTTCAAAGATCAGAATCCTATGAGAGGGGACAGTCCAAAGATAGAATCTGAAAAACAAAAGTAAACTTTAAAGAAATGGATAATGGGAACTTACCTGGTTGGCACTGTAGTTAGTGGCCATGATCTTGTGCTGTTTACACTCGTTGCTTGGCAACTGCAGAAGGCCGACCTCCTGGGACTACCTCCCAATCAGCAGAGGCTGCCTTTCCCTTCTGCTTATTATTATTCATTTCCTTGGTTCACACGGCCCCCATTTGTTTTCTCTGGAACTTAGATTCATTTTTATTTTAGAGACGGGAAAGACTGGGTAAATATGAGAAAATTAGCTGAATAGTAGCTACTCTTTTTCTGACATAACCTACCCCTGCTTAAGAACTTCCACGTGGCCTTTGATTGGGGTTTTTAACCACTTTAACGAACGATGTAACCCTGAGAGCTATGTTTGTTGGACAACATGGTGTAATGTACCACAGGATGCAGAGCCAGATACTGGAGTTTGAATCCTTATTCAACATGGGAACATAGGAGCTATATGACAGTAAACAACTGACTTGTCTTCACTAAATTTCTATCAACTCATTTGTATTGTGGAGATTATAGAGCCTGCTTTTACAGGGTAAGTGAGATAAAATGAATAAAGTGTCTTGACAACATCATAGCATAGAAGGTATTCAATACTGGTGAGATCCTGTTTATAAGGCCCTCTACTTTATCAGGCAGAATAACAAAGGAACAATATTTAAAAAGCAATTAGCTCAAATCTGTCCCCAGAAGGAAAAACATATCCTGTCCTTGGTCCTTAAATAATTTCCTCTGTCACTGTCTTAGAATCACAGCACATAAGAACACAGGTGTTTTGTGTTGACTGGAATAAAATGGAATCGGGTGCTGGTGCAGGGAGATTGAGCAGGAATGAAGAGAGAAAGTCACAGAGTAGAAAGCATCAGGTTTGGAGACTTCAACGGGGGGTGCCAGGACATGAGCCTAATATTTGTGGGACAAGGAAACCCCTCTGAAACTCATCTAAAATGGTATTGTAATACCAGTCTACAAGGTGGCTAGGAGAATTAATGAGTAAGCAGAACTGTGCTTTGTGAATTGTAAAGTGAATTTATATGTAAGGTGTCAAGATGAAAGGGAAAAACAAAGAAATAAGTTGCCCAAAGATATCATTAGGACCAGGAGAGCATTATACAGTAGATCCAGGCCGGACATGGTGGCTCATGCCTACAATCCCAGCACTTTGAGAGGCCAAGGCAGGTGGATCACTAGATCAGGAGTTCGAGACCAGCCTGGCCAACATGGAGAAACCCTGTCTCTACTAAAAATACAAAAATTAGGCAGGTACGGTGGCACATACCTCTAATCCCAGCTACTTGGGAGGCTGAGGCAGGAGAATTGCTTGAACCCAGGAGGCAGAGGTTGCAATGAGCAGAGATCGCGCCACTGCACTCCAGCCTGGGTGACAGTGCGAGACTCCATCTCAAAAAAAAAACAAAAAAAACCACAAAATCTGTCCATCAGTCCCTTCTCTTCTTCCCCCAAAATCCTCATCTTAAACCAACACACCAAGTATAAGTGCACTCTTATGCTTCTGCAGATGGAGGGAAGAACAGCTCTTGTTTTAGAGGCTCTGGAGTTAATACCTGGATAATGTGAGATCTCGAAAGATAACTCATGTGCTTAGTCCCTGTGGTTCTTATCACTGTCTAGAGGAGTGGAAGACAGAAGAGTTCTTTAAGGACCAAAGACTATCTTTGCTTTAGGACATCCATTTTGGCCCTTTAAGCTGCAGTGATAGGCTAGCATTATTTCTCTTAGAATTTTCAGTTGGTATGCCTCCTTCTGCTTTTCTGATAGGGATGTAATGATAAATGATGACTATACTCATTTTTAAAAGTTAACTAGTTTTTGTTCAACTGCAAAAGTAATGTACGTGGAAAAAAGTTTCATGTTTATAGGATGGTCAGTGAAAAGCAAATCTCCATTTGATTTCAACTCTCAGTCTTGCTCCTCAGGGCAACTACTGTTATTCATTTCTTGTGTCTCCTTCCAGAAATATCCTATGCATACAAACACTAATGAGAGAGCTGTCCACATTGCTTTTTGATTTGCTTTTTTGACTATCTTGGGGATTATGTTTTTATCATAATATAGTATTCCATTTTGGGATGCACCATAGTTTATTCAGACCCATATGGATGACCATTTAGGTTATTGATAGTCTTTTGCTATTAAGGACATTGCTGTAATGAAAAATCCCTGTGTATCTTTATGAACATTTATGTATGTATTTCTATGTACATATGTGATCTGTAGGATAAATTTTTAAAAGTACATTGCAAAGTCAAACGGGTTTGTGCGTTTAAAATAAGTAGATAATGTCAAATTACCATTGAAATACATTGCACCAGTTTGTACTTCTACCAGTGGTGTATGATGGCATGTGAGTGCCTAGTTCTCTCCTTTCTTTTCAACATCATTATCGTTTTTTCTGTTTTTTTTTTTTCAGTCTAAACTAATTTTAATTGAACTAATAGAATTGAACTAATAGAACTAATTGATTGAACTAGTAGAACTAATGTTAACTGAGCAGTTACTATGTACATGCCAGGAACAGTTCTAATTGCTTTATTACATTTTCTCATTTAGTTCTCAACCCAACCAAGGAAACTGGAGAATACACAGTGAGGAGTAGAGCCAGGATTTAATCCCAAGTATTCTGACTCTAGAGCCAGCAGTTTTAACCATTACATCATATTGCTTGTTAAGCTGTAGGTTGAACAAGGTGTATAATTTTATTTTTTGTTTTTGTTTTGAGACAGGGTCTCCCTGTCACCTAAGCTCTGGAGTGCAGTGGTGCCATCAATATCCTGAGCTCAAGCAATCCTCCCACCTCAGCCTCCCAAGTAGTTGGGAGTATAGGCATGAGCTACCATGCCCAGCTAATTATAAAAAAAAAAAATTAAGAGATAGGGTCTTACTATGTTGTTCGTCTTCTCTTGAACTCATGGCCTCAAGTGATTCTTCTCCTTTGACCTCCCAAAGTGTTGAGATTACAGGCACCAACCACCACACCCACTCAACATGGTATATCATTGTTTTAAATTTGCATTTCTTTAATTAGGGTGTTTTTATGTGTGTATAAACCCTTTTTACTTGTTTTCCCCTGATAATGGCCTTTAATGTTTTTTGCCACTTACTATTGGGCTGTTGACTTTTTTTTCTTTTTATTTGAAACCAGGCCTCCCTCTGTCACCCAGGCTGGAGTGCAGTGGCGTCATCTTGGTTCACTGTAACTTCTGCCTCTCCCGTCCAAGCAATCTTCCCACCTCAGCCTCCCAAATAACTGGAACTACAGGGACGCACCACCACACCCAGCTGATTTTAACATTTTTTTGTAGAAGGGATTTTGCCATGTTGTCCAAGCTGGTCTTGAACTTCTGGGCTCAAGCCATCTGCCCACCTCAGCTTCCCAAAATGCTGGGATTACAGGCTTGAGCCACTGCACCCAGCCTGTTAATCATGTTCATTAATCTGTTTGAACTCCATATATTAAGGAAATTAGTCCTTTGTCAAATATGTTGCAAATATTCCCTCCAGTTTGTCACTTACTTTCGTTTTGTTGGTGGTTTTTCTGTTTTGTTTTTGTTTTTGTTTTTCTGTGGGTTGTGTGTTTTTGTTTTGTTTTTTGTTTTTTTGCCATGGACATGTTTTTAGTACTTATGTAGTAGTCAGATGTATTACTCATTTTTTCTATGCTCTGGATCTTATGCTTTTAATGGCTTTTTGTAAATTCCAATATTTTAAAAATAACCCCTCGCTTCAGTTTTTAGATTTAAATTTTTGTTCCTTCTGTAATTTTAGTGAATGTGGACAAGGTTATGCTTCAGTTGCCTTAACTAGTTGCCTTGGCATCATTTATTAATAAGTTTTCTTTTCCCCTACTGATTTGAAATGCCACTTTTAATGTATTCCCTAACATATTTGTGTCTGTTTCTGGATCCTCTAACCCATTGTTCTAGAGAGAAAGGTGATTGTTTTAGATTATTTGTCTCTCTGATATTTAAAATCCAAGGTACACTCTGGGCACAGTGGCTCACGCGTGTAATCCTAGCACTTTCGGAGGCTGAGGCAGGCAGATCAGTTGAGGTAAGAAGTTTGAGACCAGCCTGACCAACACGGCGAAACCCCGTTTCTACTAAAAATACAAAAATTAGCGGGGCATGGTGACACTTGCCTGTAGTCCCAGCTACTGGGGAGGCTGAGGCAAGGGAATCGCTTGAACCCGGGAGGTGGAGGTTGCAATGAGCCGAGATCCCGCCACTGCACCCCATTCCGGGCGACAGTTAGACTCCATCTCAAAAAAAAAAAAGGGGCCAGGCGCGGTGACTCTCGCCTGTAATTCCAGCACTTTGGGACTGACGACAGGAGGATCACCGAGGTCAAGAGATCGATGAACCAATCCTGGCCAACGTGGTGAACCCCGTCTCTACTAAAAATACAAACATTAACTGGCGTAGTGCGGCGCACTGTATGTCCTTCCAACTACTTAGAGGCTGAGGCAGGGAGAATGCGCTACGAACCCGCCGGAGGCGGAGGTTGCAGGGAACCGAACTGCGCCACTGCTGCTCCAACCTGGCGGCCGAGTGAGGCGCTCCGTTTCCCAAAGAACAAAAAAAACCTCCAGCTACAATCCTGGCTTGATCCTATTTCGCGAATTTCCTTCCTTAACAGTTCAGGTCCGGCAGCAGTTTGTGGCTCACATTCACCAGCCTGTAAATCCCCAGCACTCCCCTTGGGAGCGGAGCGTGCGGCGTCACAAGTTAACGGTAGATCCTGAGACCATCCTGGCTAACCGGTGAAACCCCATCTCATACTAAAAATACAAAAAATTCTAGCACTCGGCGTTGGTGGTGGGGGCGTGTAGTCCCAAGCTACTCGGGAGACTGAGGCAGGAGAACTTGCGCCGTGAACCGAGAGGATGGAGCTGGCGTAGAGCCGAGATCACACACTGCTCTCCAGCCGGGGCGACAGAGCGCGACCCGCCAACCACCCAGAAACCTCCCGTCTCAAAAAAAAAAAAAAAAAGATTTCACTAGGAAATTGTAATATCAGTAG